TCCAATTCGTCGATGCGCTGACGGCATAAAAGTTGATTTTCTATACTGCCATACTTCCCAAGCTCCTCATATATAGCCCTATAGAGAAACAGATAATAAATTACTCAAAATCATAAAAAAAACTCACCCTAATTACTTCATTCAAAAAGGAACAATAATAAAGATATCCACACAATAAATAATGCCAGGCTCTAATGATTGTATATTCTGAAAAAAAAGCAGAATTCCACAAACCTCGTATTCTTGAAATTTATCATTGCAGCATCTATATTCTTGTCTTGCTCAAAAAACAAAGCACCTTTCATATATGAAGCATATGCCTGAGAAAAAAATGTATTTTGGTGAAAATGTTTTAGATTTGTCTTCAAAATAGTTCAAATATTTTTAAAAATACAGTTGAGAGAAAAAAGGGCGTACCCAGTCAGAGAGAGCTCCCGCCTCAGGCGGGGTCTGGGAAGGAAGGTGTCGATGGCAAGCCTTAACCTCGCTTTGTGCAATGCGAGGAGACCATGACTCGAACCCGGACCTTCCAAATACAAAGTGGTAAGACTCTACCGCTTGCACCAGGCCCGCCCTTCACAGTTGAGAGAAAGTGAAACAAAATATAGTAAGAAACACACCTCAGCTTCTAGAGATGTCCTGGAATCTCCTTTTACAGAACATAATTGTGAAAAAAGTGATGCCCATTTAACAGCTTTCCTAAACCGACCCAACATGTAGATACGCTGTTGTGCGTTTGTACCAGCAGTTTTCTTCTCCATGGCATGACTCCATGCTCGCTCGGCCATGTAAAATACTACATGGAGAAACCTGCTCTCACATGGTACATTGCTTCATGAAGTCTTCTCCAGGTCTAAACAAATTGTAATAGGCCTTGCTCAAAAATTCACACAAGGTTTATAACAAAAAGGGCGTACCCAGTGCAGAGAGCTCCCGCTCTGTGCGGGGTCTGGGGAAGGGTGTCCGTGGCAAGCCTTACCCTCGCCTGTGCAATGCGAGAAGACTGCGACTCGAACCCGGGACCTTCCGGTCACAGGCGGTAAGACTCTACCGCTTGCACCAGGCCCGCCCTTCACACAAGGTTTATAACACTGAAAAGAAAATTATGAAGACAAGCAACATGCTATATAGCACATTATCAGCAGAAGGGGCCACACCTCACATCCGTGACTGTTGACTCGGTTATATTCCTTCTGGTGTATTTACCTCGGCCATGCAAAAACTTGAGAGACTTGTACAGCCTTCTGAGTCGTGCAGAACAGTATCTCCTGCAGGCAATGCAGAATCATTCAGGCAAAGAGGCAGACACAACAATGACAAAGGATCGCGATTCTAACTGATAACAAAGAGCATGATAAGAAACGAAACAAGCATAAACAGGCCGAAAGTTTGAAAGTAAATATCCAAATTTCCTGCAGGGTACAGGTACAAACGCGTAGAATTGGATCGCAGTGTACAGCAATTCGATAAGGAAACACTTCATCCCAAATCAAATTTGAGACCCCAGCAGACAAGAAGACACAAAAAGGACTAATAGTCGAACTAGACGCGCAGATCTGGGGGAGGGTCGAACAGGATCGAGTGGAGAGCGCGTGGCATAACGCACCGGTACCGCGTGTAGTCGCTCTGGCGGAGACCATGCTGCATCTGCGCCTCCCTCATGAGCTCAAGCACTGCAGGAGATGAGACCCGTCAGGAGATGGAGCGAGGGGGCAGATCGCCGGAGGATTCGTGGAGAGGGAGGGTAGGCTCACCGTTGATGGAGAATCTGATGGCCGGCTTCTCCTCGACGGCGGAGGAGGAGTCGACCTGCATGTCCGATGGCTGCTGGTCCGCGGGCTTCGACATGACGGTGGCTGCGGAGGCGGACCTCCGGCGGAGTGCTCAGACGCGGTTGAGACGAAGGGGGCGGATGCGGAGTGCGTGCGTCTGTCCTCCCGAAAAGGTTTAAACCCTATTGATTGATAATCCGTGTATAAATCCAAACATTAAATATCAACCGTATTCCGAACATTAAATATCAATACGTATCCGAACCAAATAATCAAAGTTGTTAAGTGCACCAGCGGTCCCTAAACTTGTACCATATCATGTTATCCCGTCCTCCAACTCATAAATTGACCGCTTAGGTGCTTAAACTTTTTCATCTCGGTCGCCTCGCCTCCCTAAACTTGTTTGGTACTGTCATCCCGGTCACTAAACTTGCAAATCACCCGTTTAGGTCATCAAACTTGTTCAGTTATGTCATCCTGGTCCCTAAACTTTGTTTTGAGTCTCATCTGAGTCAAAACAGGGTGATCTAAAAACTTTATATAAAAAATAATTCATAATTTTTTCATATGAACTCGAATAGAGATAAACTTTATATCAAAATTGTAGCCCTCGACGCGATCTACGACTTCGTAGTTGAAAAGTTTTTGAATTAAAATTGTTTAGGGTCCCAAAATATTATTGTATATTTATAGATTTTGAAATTTAAAATTATCAAACAATCTTGATATTGATATGGTCTATATGAAAATTATAGTTCTCAATACGATCTACAACTTTATAGTTGAAAAGTTTTTTGTTTGAAGTCATTTAGTGTCCCAAAATTTAATTTTAAATTTCAAATTTTAAAATATATAAACATACAATAATATTTTGGAACCCTAAACAGTTTTAATTCAAAAACTTTTCAACTACAAAGACGTAGATCGCGTCGAGGGCTTCAAATTTGATATAAAGTTTGTCTTCATTCGAGTTCATATGAAAAAGTTATGAATCATTTTTTTATATAAAGTTTTTAGATCATCCTGTTTTAACTCAGATGAGACTCAAAACCAAGTTTAGAGGCCGGGATGACACAACTGAACAAGTTTGAGGACCTAAACGGGTGATTTACAAGTTTAGGGACCGGAATAACACAGCTGAATAAATTTAGAGACCAAGATGACACGGATGAACAAGTTTGAGGACCTAAACGGTCGATTTACGAGTTTAAGGACCGGGATGACACAGTGGTACCAGTTTAGGGACCGTTGGTGCACTTTACTCTTGTTACCACAACCCACGTTCGGGCTGAGGGAAGGAAAGGCAGGGGCGGACGAAGCAGGTGGGTGCTCGTCGCCGGCGAGCAGCGAAGGCCGGCGAAGCCCTCTCGGCACCTGGCATAGCGTAGGGTGGGGGCGGCGGTCGCCAATCGTCGCGCTGGGAGAGTGAGGCCATGTTTGGTTTGTGAGGACGTGCCACGCCCACGTTAGTCGTGTCACAGTTTTTCTGACAATGGTTTGGTTTGCTGCCACAGCTACGACGTGCCATATTTTCTTAGCAGCATGTCCTACACATTATAGATTTATTTTCTTGCCAAACTTTGCCACAAGTGTAGCTCTAATTGTCTCCGCCGAACTTTCTCTGGCAGACACAGTTTGCCGAAGGTTTGGCGTGGCAAACGCTGACTGAACAGGAGAAGAAAATCGCTGTGGAGATTGCTGCCTGGCTAAAGATGAGCAATCGGGCCGCCCCGGCCCGGCACGGCCAGACGGCCCAAGCACGGCCTGCGCGCCGATTTTCGTACCGTGCCAGTCCGAAAAGCACGGGCCTAAAAGCGGACCGAGCCAGCCCAAGGCCCACAGATGCCATACAGAGAGAGAGCGTGGGGGGGGAGGCCAGGATGGCAGGAGCGCGTGGAGGAGCCCGCGCGTGGCAACGCCAGATCCGAAGGAGGAGTGGAGGAGCTCGGCACCTCGCCCCCGAGCAACTCGACAACGGATCTGGATGAGCGCTCAAGGACGGCCACTGCGTTCGACGCCACGGGGGAGGAGCCGTTGCCAAGATCTCAATGGGGAGCGTCATCTCCCGCCGCTGAAGCTTCACCGCTGGCACCGTCGGTTGCTCGGCCTTTCCCGGCGGCCTCCTGCTTGGCCGAGGCTCGCCGCGGACCGCGGAGGCGCGCGCATGGCGCTGTGTTTGGGAGCGGGCTGTGCGAGTGTGGGAGACAGGGAGAAGATTGTGACTGGGGCTCTATTCGGATGGTTGGAAAAACGGCTGATGCTAATGATGATTTGTTATGAGAGAAAAACACTATTATTTCGCTGAAACGGTACGGCTGATAAGTTGAAGTGAACAGGGCCCCGGAGCCGGGGGGTGGGGGCGTGCTTAGTCATACGCAAGAGATGCTCGACGATGGCAAAGTGGGGTGTGAGCAAAGTTTGTCAGGGTTATAATGGGAGTGGGCCTTAACCAAGCCTCCGATAAATACCGGGGCGTGCCATGCCACCCGCCGTACTTGAGCAGTAGCCCAAGCACGGCATGTGCATCGGGCCGTGCCGATCTAGGCCCGAACAACACCAGGCCGCATTGTGCTTAGGCCGGACTAAAAAACCATGTTTCGGGGAGGGCCATGCATGCTCATCTTTATGCCTGGCGTGAAAGCTGCATGGGACTGGGGACTGCGAGACGCTCAACCTGTTTGGATGATAGCGTGGGATTTTGGTCCTGACCCTCAATTCGTGGGCTGCAAAGGAAATGAGCGGCCCGGAAGAAAAGAAAAAAAAAAACACCCCTGATTTGCCTTCTCCTGTTCAGCCCGAGTGCGCGCTCTCACTCTCTCGCCGCGCGACGAGTGGCGACCGCCGCCCCCACCCCCTACGACAGGTGCCGAGGGCTTCGCCGGGCCCTTCGCCGCTCGCCGGCGACGAGCACCCACCAGGTTCGTCCGCCCCTGCCTTCCGTCCCATTCCCGCTGCGCGAAACCGAGCTTCCCAACCCTACCCTAACGTAAGCTATTTGCTGTCTGCTTTCAGATCCACCAGCTAGCTACGGCCTGTTCCCTCTCAATACGCGTAGGTTGTGGTCGAAAATGATCCAATGTCCCCCTCAATCTCTCCCAATACGTATGGACTGGAGATGATTATTTTGTTTCTGAACGAGGACTAAAATATACATGTATTATATCCACTATCTTCGATCATAATTCGGTGTCCTATAGTGGATCGGCCCCTGCCTCAAGTGAATCCGCAATGGTTCTGCCTCATCGAACCGCGGAACTGCTGGAGGCTGATGAAGCCCAAAGCTTCGTGCATAAGCTTCAGCTCAGTGTCTCGAAGGGCCTTCCTCATGCTGTGCCAGTGCCAGGCTTGAGAACAGAAGAACATGAGCTGGTAGGAATTCAATTGCTTTCCAATATGAATATGATTGCGATTCCAGCTGACACTTCCTCAAGCTGATGCTCATGTTTGCTCATGCCGCTCTGTGACATTCACAGGTTAAGGCTGTTTTCCAGGTGCTGCAAGGCTTCGAGACGTCCTGGCTTTATTGGGACAGTAACATGCTTCGGTACCGTGAGAAAGCGGGTATATATGTGACTCATTTGTCACTGACAGGCCTCAGGTCGTTGTTGAGTCCATTCCTGTTCACGGCAACATGCTTAAAGCAAGTGGAGCTTTTTGTTGGGAAGGTTAGGACTCGCCGTCACAAGATTCCTACGTTGGATGTGTTCGCTAGCTCGGTTGATTCTTGGCTTAAGGTGAGGTTGCAAATCAGGATGTGCATATATTTCTTGGGCTTGAATTTTGTGTAATCTAAATAGATGGTGTTTATCCAGTCCAAAATTCCAATGACTGTTGTCATATTAACATCAGAGGCTCCGCGAAGCAGCTCTGAAGGAGGAAGAGAAGCTATTTGTTTCAGACAACAGGACTATAACTCTACTGGGGTTAACTGATTCATTGTCAAGGTCAAACTTCGCTACGATACTTTGCTACTTTTATTCCTCTAAAGTTATTTGTGTGTGTTCACAGGTTTGTACATTTGAGTTTGAACTGTTCTAGCAAACTAATAAGTAATAACTTGTTATTTTTTTTGTGATGAAGTATGTAATTGATTTTAGAGAGATCAACAGTTGTGGGCAATGTGCCGATGTGTCATGGTGCCAATTTGTATATTGAGTACCACAGGAGCTTTTCATGCACAATTTTAGCACTTGTCAGATTTTGTTTTGTAACACATCAGTCACTCTTTGTATTGAATGTATTGCAGTTTACGTTCTGGAGCAGAACATTTGTCTCAAGTTTTGCATAGAGCTGTGCCAGATGGCTTTTGGGATTCTGGTGCACACGTGGCATCTAGTGAAGTTGCAGTTCATATTCTTGACCATCTCTTCAAGAAGTTAAATGAAGTATGTCTTCTGGAAGACGGCGAGGTTGCAACAAGAACCAATTGCTCGAATATCTGATTGTTTTATTTCAGTTATCATAGTGCTTGCTAATTAATATAAATCCGTATAAATTCCAGGGTGAGCCATTTCATATGCTGCTAGTGATATTTACTGGAAGCTTGTTACCTTATCTTCAGTGTCTAGATTCCTGGATATATGATGGTATCCTTGATGACCCTTGTGAAGAGGTATTGAAGAAACAATTCCTTTCATTCCTTTTTTAGATATATTTCACAAGCATTCATGTTATGGTACCAAAACACTACAAAAGTAGCCTGTCTTGTCTGATTGGCCTGAACATATTGAACTCAACAGTAAATCATCAGAATTTCATGATTATGTTATGTGCCTTGAAGTGTTCAACAAAAGCGTACATGAGATTGTTCCATCTTGTTCCCTATATTCCATGTATATCCTGAAAGTCGGCCATTTCCTGATTTCCATATGGTTTGCCTGAATAAAATGCTATGTGCATACCGATTTCTTTGCAGCATAAGGTAGTTACCCATTGATGTCTAAAACACATCATTTTCTTTCCCTATTTATTTAGTTAGTTAAGTATAATTGTAAACCCCTTGATTTAGATCACGTAGTTCTGCATTGCCTTATACCAGCTTGACATTATCCTGTTGAGATTTGATAATGAATGATGTTTAGTTTTTCTGATCTATAACTTGAATTTCAAAGGTTCCGCATTTTTTTATTCAGTCACTTTTCTCTTTTGTAGATGTTCTTTTATGCAAATAATGCGGTTACAATAGATCAGCCGGCATTCTGGGAAATGAGCTATATGCTCAGAGTAAGAGGTTCCAGAGTTGACAGTTCAACAACTTTAACTGATAGCAAATCTATCAAGAAAAAGGAATCAAGCAACCAGGAATCTAATACTGCAGGAGCTTGCTTGAAAGTGAACAATCAAGGTTGTGTGGATATATTATGCCCGGTATTCTTGAAGGATATTGCAAGGGCCATTGTATCTGCTGGAAAATCCTTTCAACTTGTCCAACACGTTCAAGACGTACATCAGATTCAAACTCGCAAAGGTAAACATGGGTCTAATTTGTATCAGGATACTAATTGCAGTGGTCAACAGAAATTCTGGCCAGATATGTCAAGTTTAAGAATCCACGATGATCGTCCAAGAAATAAAGATGCTCTTGAAGTATCCACAAGTCAGTTTGGAAATGATTCTCGTGAAATGGGACTCCTAACCTTGTCTGAAATTTTCTTGATATGCCTATCTGGTCTGTTAGAAAATGGTGACCATGTTTATGAGTACTTAAGAACACTGCATGCTGATAGTGTTCCAAATAACAATGCTTTTATGGAAAATGGGAGTACTAGCAACTTGAAAGGAACAGAGGATACATGTGCAGGGAACATCACTGAGAAGACTTGGTTAAAGCTCCTAAAGGATGCTACATCTGGAAGGCGATGTGATGGTATGGAGAAGACCATAAATGCTGTTATGGAGAAGCCAGTATTTGGCCCGGGTTGCCCAAAAGATGCATCTTCCAATGCCGTAGAAGGGTTTTTCACTTTATCTTGTTATGAAAATCCAGCTGTCACTGCTTGCAGAGAAGTGCTACTGAGGAACCCAACTTCTTGGAGTGAACTGAATATCTCTGAAAGTTTTCATCTCCCTCCACTGAATGATGGGAACATGCGAAGAGCTATATTTGCTGATGGACATTCTGCAGGAACTAGCACTGATTATAAGTTTGGTTTCCAGTTCGATGATTTGGAATATGTCCGCCAAGTAGATGACAGAAGGACCTTGGAGGACCTTTATGCATTTCCAACTCTTCTTCCTTGTGCAAAAGTAAGACTTGCTTCTGAAGTATAGTTTGTTATTCATGTTTTCTAGTTATCTCTAATCCCATTCACTTCAGGAAAATGCGCTGCTGTCAGAAATTTTACCTATGCAGAAAGATAGTGCACTAGCATCAAGAGTTTTGAAGTTTATTCAGAATATGAGTGTGAAAGATCCTCTCCAGCCAGTGGGTATCATCCAAGAATGCCTTTCCAAATGCATAAATAGACAGGTCTGCTCAAAACTTGTATTATGTTCATATTCCTGTTAATCTATTTGTATAAAAAGTCTGCTTTTGTTCCCCTTTTAGGTCGATCACATAGGCAATCAAATCCTGTCCAAGCTAATGGGCGAATGGAGATTAATGGATGAACTGTTTGTTTTACGTGCTATTTATTTGCTAGGATCAGGTCTGTCATCTGCTTAAAACCCCAAAGAACTGCTTACTCGTGTTTCCCTCAGACTGTTGAAATCAAGTAAAGAAAAAAAAAACGTGATTTTACTAATTTACTTGAACCTTCAGGTGACATGCTCCAGCAGTTTCTGATAACAATTTTTGATAAGCTTGATAGAGGGAATTCCTGGGATGATGACTTTGAGTTGAATAATTTGTTGCAGGTGATTCATGTTGCAAATTTACTGTCATGTTGATATCTATGCTTCATGAGTATTCAGTTCTCTTATGGTTATTCCTTTCGTGCAGGAATCCATAAGAAACTCAGCTGACAAAATGCTCCTGACAGCACCAGATTCTTTGGTTGTTTCGTTAGCGAAACATGACACACACAATGGTGAGGAAGGTCCATCAACTTCCAAAAAAGGTCGCGCACTTGGTTTTGGCATTGATGCCCTTGACATGCTTAATTTTACATATAAGGTATGCACCAAACAAGAGCAAGCTTTATCTGCATTTTTCCTGTATTTTTATTTATTTGGTAATGGCAGGTGTCTTGGCCTCTTGATCTAATTGTTAATACAGAGGCACTGAAGAATTATAATCAGGTAATGCCTTACTTTCTACTTTAAGTATTAGACATGATTCAATATAACTAATGCATTTGGTCATTTTGGTGAACCAGGTAATGGGATTCTTACTGAAGGTCAAACGAGCAAAGTTCGTTTTGGATGAAACCCGAAAGTGGATGTGGAAGGTAATGATCTATATGACTTTTTGTGTTTTTTAGTCATCATCTAACAGCATCCTTTGTTGTGAATTTTCTTTTTACAAAGCTGGAAATGTTATATATTGATATATTGTTGGGAGTTGACAATTAAATGTGGTTAGTTTATTATCATGACAACTTAATTTCCATAAATCAATCCTCTTTTGTTGGCAGGCCAGAGGCAGGACTGCGCATAATATCAAACAACACCTAATAGTGGCACAGAAGCTCCTCCATTTTGTCGATGCATTTCATCAGTATGTCATGGACCGAGTGAGTTGAAATATGTTTGCTCAGTTCCTTCCCTTAAATCACTGTCTGTCTTGTACTCATGGCATTTTTTGAGTAGGTTTATCATAGTGCATGGACTGAGCTTTGCGATGGCATGGCGTCTGCTACTACACTGGATGAAGTCATGGAAGTTCATGAGGCATATCTCTCTTCTATTCAACGACAATGCTTTGTGGCCTCTGATAAGTTGGTAAGCATCTTTGCCATTTTTATATGAATCAATAAATCGTCCTGATGTTTGAGCTTAGATAAGAATGGCCATTGACTCTGTTTTTCAGTGGGCTCTCATCGCCAGTCGAGTTAAGACTATTCTTGGATTGGCACTGGACTTTCACAATGTTGAACAAACTCTCAGTACTGGTGGGACAGCTTCAGCTGTGAGGGCACGATGCGAGATGGAAACCGACCGGATTGAGAAGCAATTTGATGAGTGTGTCGTATTTCTCCTGAGGGTTAGTTTCTAAATCTATTTGCTGCCAGTAAAAAGATCTATCTGCTGCAGTATTTTTTTTCTTCTTTAGATTGACTAAGTATGAATTTTATATCCATGCAGATCCTATCTTTCAAGCTTAATGTGGGCCATTTTCCCCATCTTGCCGATCTAGTTACAAGAATCAATTACAATCACTATTTCATGTCTGATAATGGGAGCTTCTCTGCTATTCCTGGGTCCCGGACACGGTAGTAGTTGAGCAGCGTGGACAGGATTGTTGGTGTTACCGACACCAGGGTGTTTTTTTTTCCTCCCTTTTTTTGAGAGGCACCAGAGCCTTGATTTGTTTACCTTGCTTTGAAATACCGGCAGCACCAATTGTAAGCAAACATGTTTTACGCAAGATTTGGATGCGAGTGCTAATGCTTCTATCCAAATTGCAAAATTTTCCCAAAAAAAATATGCGTCGGGCTTGTTACAAGATTTATCAGTACATTGTTTTCAAAATGGTGACACGGTCCTTCAAAAGATGGCATAAAACGTAGTTGATCCTATTACATTTTATTTTACAGCTTATCCGTGGAATCAACCATATCTCCAGAAGTTCAGATTAAGAACCGGCAGTGAGATCCAAGGGCTAGCTCCAGAATTCACAGTGAAACAGCGGAACGAAAGACGTTCGTCACTCGTCAAAGAAAGCATCCAGCCTCGTAAAAAAAAAAAAGCATCTAGAAATAGCCCCCGTCACAGATGCAACGCCTGAAGCACTGGCGTTAAAAAAAAAATCATTGCTTGGATCATCCGTTGTCACAATGTGGTTGACCAGATTAGCCAGACAATTTTAACGGACTGGTTTTGTTACCATCGGGCGTACATACCCCTTCAGAGCTCATGTCGGCAGCCAGAAGCCGACAGGGGACCTGTTGGCTGTCCGCTAGCCGATAGTCCCTGTCGGCTTCTGGGATGCCGACATGTGTGAGCACTACTTTTATGTCCGCTGGCCGATAGGCAAGGCCGACAGGTCCCCAAACTGGTGTGTGTGGCCCTGTCGGCTTCTGGGATGCCGACATGTCTCCTACCCACAGTGACTACTACTCCCTCCATCCCAAATTGTAAGTCATTCCAAGAATTTTGGAGAGTCAAAGTTTTTCAAGTTTGACTAAATTTATATAACAAAATAATAATATTTATCATACCAAGTAAGTATCATTAGATTCTTCATTAGTTATATTTTCATATTATACCTATTTGATGTCATCAATCTTTGTGTTTCTCTCTATAATTTTAGTCAAACTTGAAAAAGTTTGACTCTCCAAAATTCTTGGAATGACTTACAATTTGGGATGGAGGGAGTACTTTTATGCTCTCTCTCTCTTCTTTTTTTTTATGAATTCACTACTTCTAGCTCATAGTCCTCTTTTCTTTTTTAAAAGAAAGAAAAAAAAACTTTGACTTCCCAGTTTACCAACGACTCAGATTCCGTCACTCACTCTTTGCTGGTTCTCCCGTGCTCCGATGAACAGCGCAGCACGTGAAACGTTTGGAAAGACAACACATCACTTCGTTCTTATGAGATAAAGAGAAGGCGAGGCCTATTTGCTTGTCTTACTGGCACAAAGGGATGAAGCAGATGCAGTACGCAGATCGAGCTGAGCCCCACGTATTTGTTGTCCTCTCTCAAGCATGCAGTGTACTACGCCTGTACTTCTGCATTTGATATTCACCATGTTCTGCTCATCTACTTTTCAGTTGGCCTGTGCTTATTTCGGTTTGTTCTATCTCACAGAAACATTATTGAATCAGTCGAAATCAGCCGGAACACCACCAGCAGAACCACGCCAATTGTCAGCGTGCCATCGTTGAACAAACCCATCACTCTACTAATAAATTGCGTCGTCGTCATTGCTCCTTTCATCACTGGACAAAGTTAATGCATGTGTGGGCGGGGCTGGGACTGGGAGGCTTGACTGACGGCCGACAAGGCGTCGCGACGTCGTCCTTCTCACTGTTGGCATGAAATTTTTGAATAAACCTGTTTGCATTAAATTTGCTCTGTTTTGCTCTGTCAAATTACCAGACGCTAGTTAAAGGTTACCCCTTTGCCTATTATTCTACAACCTCTGTCCCAAAGCTTAGCCCTTTTTCATTGGGAGATGGTACAACAGTAGATCTCACATCCAGAAACCTCTCATCTGCATACGTTGCTTAGGAATAGGTGGAACTGAGGAAACGGTGGCAACGATTGGAAATGGCACAAGCAGGAGCAGCATATCTGATGACCTCCAGGTATTTTACATCACTTTAAACAAAAAAGAATATCACCATGTTCTGCTCATCTACTTTTCAGCTGGCTTGTGCATATTTCGGCTTATTCTTCCTCACAGAAACACTATTGAATCAGTTGAAATACCACCAGCAGAACAGGGCCTGTAGCACCTATTCGTTAGGTTCCTTTATCCTTCCTGGTTATTTCTTGCGTAAATAACATAGCCTTTGTTGCCTCAACGTCAAACAACAAAGCGCGTTCGCCAGTCGCCGTGGTAGCATGGTATGTGTGGCCACACAACTCGGCTCCATCTTTTTCCCTGATAGTTCCGGCTTCCTTGTTTGGGCCTCTCCCTCCGTCTTGTGCCATGCCATGATGAATAGTGGAACAACGTTTTTTTCTAAGCAGTCTGGCAATCCGCTGCTATGCTCTTGGCACGCGTTTCCAGCTCAGAGCCATCTTTTGTTTAGAAAAAAAAACATTGTCTTATCAGTTGGCCTGTAAGAATGAGAAGCAGACCAAAACTTCCAGAATGGTGCCAGGGAAACATCAATTTCGAGACTTGGAGCTTAGTACAGGAGAAAATGGGCTTGGATGCTTGAATCGATGCCCAAAACAACACAAAGCAACATTGCCTGGATTTTCTTGGAAGAGAACATAACAATGTTTGCAGGTGCTCTCATGGGCGACTGGTTACCGGGGCTCGCTCTCAGTCCAGAGACCCAGTTTCGAACCCTGCATCCTCTTAACTAAAAAAAGCAGGGGTGCGGTCTGCTCCTCCCTGTCAAGTTTTTTTTTTTTTTTTTTTTTTTTTTTAACATAACAATGTTTGGATTGCAGTCTTAAGTTGCCACACCTAGCCTTAGGAAGGCAGTTTTCCTATTCAGCATTTAGTTACCACCACAACTTAGGGCCTATAATTGCCACAAACCAAATAAAGAAGCTGAAACAAACAGCTAAGCTGGTTTTTGAGGAAATGAACTAAAAGCTAAAAAAAACATGTTTTGAGAAGCTTTTCTAACTTTTGATGTGTTGAGAAATTTAAATTTTATTTACAAAACCAGTAGCCAGAAACCAAAAGCCAGCCAGAAAGTACAATACTAGACCCACCAATCATAGGCTAAATTTTCTTGTCTAACTTCTCGGCCACTAGACCATTTCTTGTCTAACTTCTCGGCCACTAGACCATTTCTTGTCTAACTTCTCGGCCACTAGACCATTTCTTGTCTAACTTCTCGGCCACAGGCCACTAGACCCACTCGTCAAAGGATAACGAGTATATAATCATTAGAATATCTTTATCGATCTTCTCTTCTCAACGATTCATTTCTAAAGTTTTTAGCAATCTACATTTTTTTTGCTGGCTTTAATTTTGAGTAACTCTTCATTAACCAACCAGGCTAGTTCGTAGGCATAGCGTTCCCAACATTTCTTACACAGGCCAACAGAAACCAATACACGGCAACCTTTCAATTGGCAAGGTAGCAGTGTTATCAAAGAGAAGCTAGCTAAAATCAACTTCTGCTTTGTATATAAGTTACAACAGCAATTGGGAATTTGGGATATTTGCCATCTGACATAACCTGATGGCACTCTCTTCATGTTCAGAAACGAACATACAAGCTGAAATGCACCAGCTTCTGTAATAAATGTGCTTGCTCATGAACCGAAACCAGGGGAGTGTGCGGGGCAACCAGAAGGCTTTACAAACTTGGAGATAAGCTTGCCATCAATTTTGTTGGCAAAAGCCAAAATATTAGAAACGCGGGGAGACGAAAATGGTGAAATCCTAAGCAGTGGAGGGTGTCCTACTTGCTTTTGTGTCCTTTTGCCATCTCCACAAAGATCAATCTTCCACGTAGAATCTGTTGAGATGCAGTTAATTAGAGAGTTTAAGATCAAGAATATCGTGTAAAGCTGATACCAGTTCACATCAAGCTCAGGGAATGAAGCCTCTACATGTTTTCTTATTTTAATTTAATTCAGACACTGAAACCTTAGAACAACAAGATTCAGAAGAGAATGTTGCCGATGACAAAGTGGAGTTCCATCACGCTCAGTACATGGATATGAACACACCAACTGGAGCAAAGAAAATATGCCAAGATACAATTGCATTTAACAAATAAAGGTACAAATCAACATAAAACTATGTTCATCTTGCTGGAAACAATTGTTGCCTTGTTGGAAACTAGTGAATTTCCAGCCTGTGCTGAGTTGTGATTTTGCGAAAAGTGTGAAATTCCTAAACTAATGCTGCTGAAGGAAAGTGCAATGGAACTATTTACAACAGGACAAAGAACCCATGACATGACTTATTATACTAAGTCCACAACCAAATAAAGTTGAAACATGTAGTCTGATCATGTCTGCTTACATAAAGAATGTATTAGGTGCAGGTATTCATACCATAATACCATGAAGGGTACAGTTCCTATCACTAAAGTAACTCAATAAGGGGGACAATTTTCTGAATGCAACATACTTTATTCACAAGAGAGAGAAAAACTCTGCTGCTAATGCATTAATGTTACCTAAATTATACAGCCAAATTATCTTTTCCATGCAGTCATCCAGGTTGGGGGTTGCCTTATCCATGACAGGCAGCAAGATGTAAGGAAATGCTAAAACGACTAGTCACTGCTTGGTAAGTGGGACACATAAAATGCATTAATTCAAAACATGTATTTTCACGAGAGAATGCAACCCAGCAGATTTTAAGGCTAAACAAGGAGATGCTCTTTTACATAAAAGGCCATGTTAAAGGTGTAATATATGGTGTATCCTCATTCTTCACTTCTTCAGTTCTTTTGCAAATAGGTATTGATAACTAATACATCCACCTTTCAAGAATTATGAGTATGTTATATATATTTGTGAATGGAGATTTGCAGAAAGAGCAGGCCTAGAAAAAGTGAAAATTAGATCTTTCGAGTGGTTCAGTGGAGAAACAGCAGGCCTATACATCAAAGCTCACACTGCACTATCAAGAATTTTCTAGAGTTCGTGTCAGATAAATGGCGACTAAACAGTCTGCATCTAGCAGTTAGTAGACATATGGTGGCTCCTCCTTTGACTCTAACCTCAGCCTACCTATAGTTCCATTCCAGTATCTTCTTCATTTTTACTTATTTGAAAGTGGGCATCGAAAGGAAATTGAGTAAGTATCAAAAATTTATTAGTAGCGGTAAATAAATGAAGTTTCTGTTAGAAACAAGTGAGCAGAGCAGAAAGCATATACCCTGCCATCCATTGCCTTGACAGCTTTCTCTGCATCTGCTTGAGATGAATATTTGACAAAACCAAATCCCTTCATCCTTCCAGTTTGGTGGTCTCGCATAAGTCGAGCTGCACTTAATAAGATACAAAAAGCAACATTAAACTGAAATACTGCTATTTTGATTCAACTAACATAACCAATACTGTTAAAGAGCCAAATATAAACTATCAAGTTTCATTAAAAAAACATGAAGATTCCCAACTGCAAGTGGTAAAGAGCATGAGGCAGGGCCAATAATAGTAATAGCACAGGTAATATACCTTCCTCTACGGTGCCAAATGGTGAAAAGACATCTTTGAATTCTTCCTCGGTTGTATAGAATGATAATCCTGCAAAAAACACAATAAAAATGAGTTAATACTGCATGCCACAACCACACAGGAACAATAACAGGCAACATTATACAAAAAAACTCAGTAAGACATGGGGATGTGTGTTCCCTATGAGCAAAACCTGTGTCTTCATCAGAGTGCATAAATAGTAGAATGTTCACAAACAAATGTTACCAAGAAGAAAAGGAAAGGGAGGGTGAGCATGTTGGAAACATTTATATCAGCTTTACAATATACTGTTTTCGCATTGTAATCAAGCTCCATGGTAACAAATGAGAATCACCTCCAAAACTTAACTGACAGCAAAATTTCAGAGGTGAAGTCATGAAGACGATAGCCTAACCACACATATTCCACTAGTATACGGATACATCAAATTCATCAGCATCCTTACGGTCAACTACTTATGAGGAAGAGGAACTAGGCAGCAACGGCACTAAGTGTTACCATTAAAAGGAATATATTCTGATAACACCAGATACTAGTTGCAACCTTGAAAGCCACATGCTCACAAGCAAATGTCAAAAGCCTAGACCACCAACAAGTGCTATCTTCTGCCAAAACCATGAAAAATCACAGCTCCACAATACCTGGCTAGCACACTACTGTTAGTCGCTGAATTCTTACTCTTGGTAGTAGCAGAATTCTTACTCTCATCGAGAGAGGATGACACTGGGAGTTGGGGCAATTTTCTGGTTTATTTCTCACACAAATGCCATGCCAACCTAAGGGGTTGGGGATACATATTTATAGGCTGCTAGCCAGCCAAGCATATGCCAAGATGCTAGATGCTAACATGCTAAAATGTTGTCCTAGATGCTGTCCTAGATGCTATCATAGATGCTAAGATGATGTCCTAGCCAGTTAAGGATCCTGTCCTTGATGGGCAGCAAGGCCACCATGCAGCCACAAGGACCATATGCTGCAGCCCCACAAAGACCAGCCAACACAGAGACTTATCCCATCATTCTCCCCCAAGTCTTGTGCGTCGTTTTGTGGGAAAGTTGAACCATCCCGGTCCTGGAGCAGAGCTCAAGAAACTTGATCCTCCCAAGAGACTTGGTAAGCAGGTCCGCAAGCTGGTCCTTGGTGTTGATGTAGCTCGCCTTGATGCTCCCTTCCTCCAAACAGCCTCGGATGAAGTGGTACCTCACCCGGATGTGCTTACTCCGTTCATGGAAAACGGGGTTCTTTGCCAGGGCCAAAGTGGACTTACTATCCATCCTGAGCTCCACCGCTCTAGTGTCTCTGCCGAGAAGATCACCAAGCAGTCGAGCAAGCCAGAGCGCCTGAGTCGAAGCGGTGGAGGCCGCTATGTACTCGGCCTCGCAGCTGGATAGGGCCACCACCTGCTGCTTGACCGACTGCCAGCTAACGAGGCACTTGCCGAGAAGGAAGAGGACCCCGCTCGTGCTCTTGCTGGTGTCGATGTCGCCGGCGTGGTCGCTGTACCCGACGAAGTGTGCCGCCCCAGGGCACCTAGGGTAGTAGAGGTCGTGGTCGAGAGTCCCCGCAACGTAGCAGATGATCCTCTTCACAGCCTGCTGGTGCTCCGTCGTCGGTCGCTGCATGAACCGATTAACGTAGCCGACGGAGAATGCCAAGTCCGGCCGTGTGTGGACGAGGTAGCGAAGGCTCCCCACAAGACGCCGGTACTACGTAGCGTCCACCTCCGTCGTGCTGTCGTGGCTCAGCTTCAGCCTCTCCTCCATCGGAGTGAGAGCTGGGTTGTAGTCGGTGAGCCCAGCTAGCTCAACGACGCGCTTGACGTAGGCGGTCTGTCGAAGCGTGATCCCGGAGTCATCCTGGTGCACCTCGATTCACAGGTAGAAGGAGAGAGGCCCCAGGTCACTCATCTGGAAGGTGGCCTTCATCTCTTCCTTGAATGCCGCCACCTCCGCATCCTTGGTGCCGGTGATCACCAAGTCGTCGACGTAGACACCCACCAACAGAGCATTTCCTCCACTGCCCCGTCGGTAGATGGCCGCCTCGTGCGGGCTTTGCTCGAAGCCCATCCCCTTTAGCGTGGAATCCAACTTGGCATTCCACGGCCTCGGTGCCTGCCGAAGCCATAGAGGGCCTTGCGCAGGCGGAGCACCTTGCCCTCCTTGCCGGGGATCGCAAATCCCGGCGGCTGGTGCACGTAGACCTCCTCCTTCAAGTCGTCGTTAAGGAACGCCGACTGGACGTCCATGTGATGAACACGCCAGCCCTCCTGGGTAGCTAGCGCAAGGAGGAGTCGCACGGACTCCATCCATGCCATGGGAGCAAAGGCGTTGTCGAAGTCGACCCCCTCCTGCTGCACGAAACCTCGTGCCACCAAGCGAGCCTTGTGCTTGACGATGGCGCCGGCTTCATCCCTCTTCAGCTTGTACACCCACTTAAGGGTGATCGTGCGGTGACCACGAGGAAGGTCAGCAAGCTCCCAGGTGTGGTTCTTCTCAACCGCATCCATCTCCAATTGCATCGCGGCGCGCCATGCCGCATGTCTCTCGGCCTCTGCAAACGACCGAGGCTCGCCGTCGTCACACGCAAGGTGCAACTATGCCTCCAGGTCGTGAGGCACCAGTCCCGGCATCGGCTGGTCGCCGAGAAGGTTCTCCATCGTACGGTACTACAACGGCTCACCGTTGTGGTACGCGTCGATGCGCTCCTCGTTGTGAGAGAGTGGAGTAGCGAGCTCAACCAGGCTGTGCTCGACACGAGCTGGTGTTGGAGTAGACGTGCCCGGAGAGGTGCATGTCGGTGCTGGAGTGCGTGGCCGTGCCGGCTGTGGTTGAGCCAGCGAACTCATCACAGCCGAGGTCCTGGCTGGAGAGCGTGGTGCTGTCGGAGTAGCATGCATCGGGGTCGGTGGAGGCTCGAGGACTGGGGTAGACGCGCTCATCGAAGAAGAGCTGCCTACTCCCCCAGCTCCCTCGAAGTGGACGTACTCGATAGTGAAGTCGTCGTACGTCGGAGCCGAGCGTCGTCCACCGCCTTGTCCCACGCCCATCCTCGCCCTTCGTCGAACACAACGTCGCGCGCCGTGCGCACATGCTGTGTCTTCGGGTCGAGGATGTGGTAGGCCTTCGAGCCCTCCGCGTAGCCGATGAACACTCCCAGAGTGCTCCTGTCGTCGAGCTTGCTGATGTGGCCAAGCTCCTTAGCAAACGTGAAGCAGCCGAAGACCCACAAGTGGGAGACCACCGGCTTGCGCCCATGCCAAGCCTCGTACGACGTCCTGCTGTCGAGCACCTTGGTAGGTGGCCGACACTGTAGATGGCTGACACCACCGCCTCTCCCCAGAAGACAGCCGACATCCCCCTCTGCTTGAGAAGGGCCCGAGCCATCCCCACAACCGTCTGGTTGCGCCGCTCGATGACACCGTTCTGCTGCGGGCTGTACGGCGCAGAGTAGTGGCGCTGAATGCCCTCATCAGCGCAGTACGACGCGAATTCAGCCGCCGCGAATTCGCCGCCGTTGTCGGTGCGCAACACGCACAGCTTGCGGCCGCACTCCGCCTCCGCAGTAGCCTGCGAGCGCCTGATGGCGTCCGCAACCTCTCCCTTGCTGCCGAGGACCATCACCCACATGTAGCGGGAGAGGTCGTCGACGAGCGGCAGGAAGTAGCGTCGTCCTCCCGGTGTGGCCGGTGTCACCGGGCCACACAAGTCTCCGTGCACAAGCTCGAGCCTCTCCTTGGCTCGAAAGCTCACCCGCTAGGGAAAGGGGAGTCGCCTCTGCTTCGTCAACAAGAAGACGTCGCAGAGCTGCTCCACATGGTCGAGGCACGGCAGGCCTCGCACCATCTCCGTGGCACTGAGCCGCTTCAGGGCCTCGAAGTGAAAGTGCCTGAAGCGCTCGTGCCACTGCCACGCCTCGTCATCCCAACGAGCAGCGAGACAGAGGGGTTGTGCCACCTGCACATTAAGGACGTAGAGTCGATTTGCGCTTCTGGATACCTTGGCAAGAAGGTGGCGACGGCGATCCCAAATCCTCATGACTCCATCCTCAACCACCACGCGCGAACCATTCTCATCCAGCTGTCCCAAGTTGATGATGGAGTTCCTCAACGTGGGGATGTAGTAGACTCCGGTGAGCAGCCTGTGCTCACCAAACACGATGGTGAAGATGACGGAGCCGACGCCCTTGATCTCCACGCCGGAGGCAACCCCAAACTTGATGGAGCCTCGGACGCTAGAGTCAAGCTCGGTGAAGAACTCCCGTCGACCGGTCATGTGATGGGTGGCGCCGGTGTCGAGGCACCACCCGTCAGTCTTGTCGTTGCCGGAGCCGTCGCCGAGGAGGGCGTGTGCTTTTGACCCGTCAAGGTGGAGGAGAGCCGCTGCGGCCGGTGTCGCTGGAGGTAGCTCGATGCTTGCATGTGCCATGAACAGAGCCGGCTCCTCCGCCTGTGCGACGTGGGCCTGGCCGCGTCGTGGCTGTCTACAGTCCTTGGCCCAATGGCCAAGCTGGCCGCAGTTGCGGCAGGTGTCGTCTCGTGCTGGCTTGTTCTTGCCGGCGGCGCCGCCCTGGGCGCCTCCGCGGGCATCACCCTCGTCACGTCCTCGCGCCCCGGCCTAGGCGTCTCTGCGCGCCTTGCGCGGCTTGCCACGCTTGCGGCCTCCTTTCGCGGAAGAAGGCTCCCTCTTCTTTCGGTCACCTTGGCAGGTAGCCCACTGCTCCCGAGTGAGAAGGAGCTTCCCGCCAGTGGTGATGGGCCCCGAGAGAGACTGTGGCTCATCGCTGTCGATGACCTTGAGGCGACCTATCGCCTCCTCGATCGACATCGTGGAGAGATCCAGCAGAGACTCAATCGAGCGAGCCATCTGCTTGTACTTCTCGGGGACGCAGCGGAAGAGCTTTTCGATAGCTCTCTCCTCACCGTATGTGTCATCGCCAAACTGCACCATCTTCGGCAACAGAGTGTTGAGATGGAGAGCAAAGTCATCAACGTCCTCACCTGGCTTGAAGGCCAGGTTCTCCCACTCCTTGCGAAGTGCCTGTAGTGTGGACTTGCGGGCACGGTCGCTGCCGATGCGTGCCGCAGCGATGGCGTCCCAAGCCTCCTTGACAGTCCGCTTGTTGGTAAGCGAGAACTGCATCTCGGACGGGACTACAGCGATGAGGGCATCCAACGTCCGTCGATCTAGGTCGTAGTCGACGTCGCCGTACCGAACTGCCTCCCACATGTGCCGCACCTGTAGCTTTACCCTCATCACCGCAGCCCACTCGACGTAGTTGGTCTTAGTGAGGGTATGCCACCTATCGCCGGGGCCGATGTCCCTGACGATAGCCTGGAGCCCGTGGTAACCACGGTACCGATCTGGGGAGAGAGAGCCATGCTGCCTGTGAAGGCCGTGCTCTCCATCGACCCGTCGGCCACCGTCACCGTGCGCGCCTCCTCTAGGAGCGCCGCCGGCGCGTCCGCGCCTGTCTGGGCTGCCGCCGCGCTCATGGGCGTGCGCGGCTGCCCACTGCGCCGCCCGTGCTCGTCCTGCCTCCCTCCCCAGCAGCTCGAGGTCCGCGTCGGCGCTGTCGTCAGTAGAAACGGAGCTGCTGATGCTGCCGCGCAGGGCCTCGACCTCTGCTGCCGCTGCACGCGCTGCATCCGCCGCCGCCGCCGCTTCCGCCTCCGCTCTGGCTGCTGCCAGCTCCGTTGCCGCCAGCCTCGACGCCCTTGCCGCCGCCGCAGCGGTCTCTGCCGCCGCTCGCTCGCGTTCCTCTGCCGCGGCAAGTTCGGCCTCCTACCGACGCCGCGTGCTCGAGGCGACCGAGCGCTGAGACTGCCCTGCGGACATGACGCGCTACCGGGGGGCTGCTGCGTGGGGAGAGGGCTGCTTCAGACACGCAGAGGGAGAGGAGTGAGCAGGAGCGGCCGGAGCTGCTGCTGCTCCTAGCTGGGGCTGTTGCGAGGCTAGGAAAGAAGATGAGCATGAGATGCTCAGGCTACAGGATAATACGGCTCTGATACCAGTTGTTAGTCGTTGAATTTCTTACTCTTGGTAGTAGCAGAATTCTTACTCTCATCGAGAGATGATGACACTGGGAGTTAGGGCAATTTTCTGGTTTATTTTTCACACAAATGTCATGCCAACCTGAGGGGTTGGGGATACATATTTATAGGTTGCTAGCCAGCCAAGCATATGCCAAGATGCTAGATGCTAACATGCTAAGATGATGTCCTAGATGCTGTCCTAGATGCTATCCTAGATGCTAAGATGTTGTCCTAACCAGTCAAGGATGCTGTCCTTGATGGGCAGCAAGGCCACCATGCAGCCACAAGGACCATATGCTGCAGCCCCACAAAGACCAGCTAACACAGAGACTTATCCCATCAACTACGTGAATCAAACACAAGAGTACCATATCATCACGTAGTCACATACAAGTTCTGGCACAAATCCAATCATCATATGGTGAACCACATGACTGCAGAGACAAGCACGAATCAGCAAAGATGTACTTACTGCTGACAAATATCTCCGTGCTGAAGCACCTCATGCCCAGAACCTGAGAGGTCAAACCCGTGAGCCTTCCACCTCGCATCATCATTGGGATGATCTCCACTCTCCCCCTGAAACACTAGATCCCCCAAGTTACCAGTGCAGAAGCAAAATAGCAAGCTCTTCACTGGTAACAAATTATATTCCACAATGAGTACATCAAGCCAGGTAGTCCCTGGGGAGGGTGAAGCACATGGAGGTGGTCCCTGGGGAGGGTGAAGCACATGGAGGTCTGGATCTCGCAGGAGGTGGTGGGATTCATGTTGTAGCAGGCGAGGCAAATGGCCTCTTGCGACAGCTTCATGATGGACATGGTTTTGGAGGAGATGACGATGTCGGCTAAACCTGATTCAGCACCTTGACGATGCAGATTTTCAGCGCGTTCGGCTGGTATAGTCCTGGCTTGTTTCAGCTTGTTTCAGCTTATTCTCTCTCACAGAATACTATTCAATCATCCAAAACCAACCAAAATCTACTGTTGAGCACACCATCCGAACACGCTTTTGTAGGTATCCATACTCTTCTTGGCCTTATTCTTCCCCTTGGTATGATACACCCCACTTGTTCTGCATTTGCTCTTGGGTGTATAGCTTTTTGGTATGATTATATAACTATTTTACAAGATTTTCATAGCCCACACTGTTTCAAGCATTGTTGCAGTCTATCATGGTTCCTTGACAAGGTCTTCTTCCAAGCAAATGTTGTTAAAAGACCTTAGCGGCAAAAGCATCCCATTTTGCCTTTACAGGCTTTTAGGTACTCAATAGGAAAAAGGCATCTCCATCTACGTAGCACTGCAACTCTCTTAGAAATTTTATTTTGATTGATCTCCATCGACTACTCAACCAATTAATTAATGGTTACATCCATTCATAACAGGTGCAAAACTAATATTGCTAAGAGAGAGACACGGTTGCGGTGGAATATCTATAAAGCCATTAAGCCAATGCTTGAAATCAAATACGGCGTATATATTCATCCACAGGCTCGATATATCTCCATCCACACTTCTGCAGGAGGGAAACTGAAGAAGGAAAAGCAATCTGACCTGCGGCACGGGCGGCGCGACCTTTCTCGTAGCGCGGGCGGAGGAGATGCAGCCTGGGATGGATCGGGGTAGCGGTGGAGGGGGTCGCAACCTCAGGACGAGCTGACATAGGTTGGATGGAGAGCCGGTGGTAGCGGCGGCGGAGCTTACCGGAGAGTCGGCAGGGGCTGCGCAGAGCCTGCTAATGGGGCGGGGTCTGATGGGGTTTTTGGGGCGGGTTTTGAAATGGACTGTGTCTGGATGGGTGGAAGCGGGTTTAACGAAGTTACGGGTTGGGACGGGTTGGGTTTATAAGGAAGACGGGTTGGGGCGGGTCATGCAGAAAGATGCCTCCCATTGTGAATTCCAGGCGCCCGTGAGGCAAGTCGAGTCATCTCCGCCGCCGACGTCGAGTCGGTCATCTTCCTCTGGAGGCACGAGGCGGCTTCTCAGCTACGGTGGACGAGATCACCGCACTACTGGGCGTCCTGCGCGAGGGATCTGTCGAAGAAACGGGTGAGGGCGGCGGTCAAGCTTCCAAAGTTCAAGGTGTCCTATGAGTCTACGACTGCCTGCTCGAAATGTAACGTCCAGTCCCGACATACATGGCCCCGGCCCACTCTTCCTAGGAGTGGTCCGACCCGCGTAGCAACCCGCTTGAACTTTCGTCCTCGCTTCGTTCAAAACGGTTAACCGAAGGTTACTACGCGTCCCTGGCCCTGGTATTTAAGTTGATCCGACGAATTACAATCATCCCCCCTAAAGATTCGACGTCCCCGTCGAATGCCAGATCAGCTTACCCTTTCGGGACATTTACCCCAGGATCCGCCTCTCTTCAACACGTTTGTGTGGCCCCGTGCCGGCGCATGTGTATGCCATGCCGTGACCACGACGGATCCACGCACATGCACACAACATACCCGCGCAGTTGTCCCCACGTGCCCGTGAAACCTCGAGAGTCGGCTCTGATACCAAATGTAACGTCCAGTCCCGACATACATGGCCCCGGCCCACTCTTCCTAGGAGTGGTCCGACCCGCGTAGCAACCCGCTTGAACTTTCGTCCTCGCTTCGTTCAAAACGGTTAACCGAAGGTTACTACGGCGTCCACGCCCCGGGTATTTAAGTTGATCCGACGAATTGAGTTTCGATATGGGACTAAACTCGGTTGCCGCGATGTTTCGCGGTGCTACAAGACTACCCGTGAAACGATACCACCGATTTTTCACCGCCCACTTCTCCGATGAACAAAGGTTTCGTGAACAAGAGTCCGCTTTGGATGCTACGATTCCGGCCCATGTTCTCTTTCATGAGACACCGCCCATTATTTACTGGGTTGGGCCCACTTGGCCCATCAGGATGTTACAATACGGTTCTCCCGGAGATGGGCGGCGTCACGCTGCTCTGCATCCGCCGCGCTGCCGCCCACCGCCGATGAGTCAGCCCGCTCGTCCCCCCTTGCCGCCGCCGGCGCCTGGTGGCCATGGTGGAAGGGCGCGAAGGAGGAGCTCCCTCCGCTGCCCGACGACAACGGCGCGCGCCGCAGCCGCGACACCTCCGCTGCCTTTCTGATGTGCGACAGCTCGGCTCTCTCCGCTACCTTCTGATGTGCGATGGAGGACGGGATTGGTTACCAGTGGCGGAGGGAAGGGGGTGCTGGAGGGGGCCAGGCAACCCCAACACTCTGTTTGGTCTGCAATATAACCTATGTTTAGCAACTAATGATGGTAATTAGTGCATGCAGTTTGCCCCTCCAAACTCCAGTATAGTCTGCGTGGAAGTGGATGCCTTGGTGGTAAGCGTGTGGCTTTCCTTCAGCTCCCCTGTCCATTTGCATGCCTTGCGACATGCAACTCCGTCGACTCATGCACTGCCAGCCGCTTTGCTCGCCAAACCACCCCACCAAAGTAGGATATAGCCCAAAGGCTATGCATCTATTAATGGATATACAGTTGCATGTATAATTCTATACCTTAGTATTTTTCTTCATTAGATAAATGTATTTCTGGAATGGTTATGTAGCTCAGTTACCCTTATTTTACTTGCTGTCATATTTTTTCACTCTTATGTTTTCTAATTGACGTGGCTATGTTATAACTTTTTTTAACAACAACAACAACATAGCCTTTCAGTTCCAAGCAAGTTAGGGTAGGCTATAGTTAAAACCCACCAAGAACCTCATGTCACGGTTCAGGCACTTCGATAGCTGTTTTCCGAGCACTCCAATTCAAATATAGATCTCTAGGGCCATGTTCGCTTCTCTTATAATCCGTACTTTTCAGCTTGATTTTTCAGCCGGAACAGTGTTTTTCTTTCACAACAAATCAGCGGGAACAGTGTTTTAGCTTGTTTTTTCAGCGAAGCGAACAGGGCCTAGGTATATCACAAGCTTTCAAATCTCTTGTTATTGTCTCCCCCATGTTAATTTCGGTCTTCCTCTACCTCTCCTCATATTATTAGCTTGGCTTAAGACTCCACAATGCACTGGTGCCTCTGGAGGTCTTCTTTGGATATGGCCAAACCACCTAAACCAATGTTGGATAAGCTTTTCTTCGATTGGTGCTACCTCTAGGCGATCACGTATATCATCGTTCTGAACTCGGTCCATTCTTGTATGACCATAAATCCATCGCAACATAAGCATTTATGCAACACTCAGTTGTTGAACATGTCGAATCTTTATAGGCCAACATTCTGCTCCATAAAACATAGCCGGTCTATAAAACTTGTCTTTTAGCTTTTGTGATACCCTCTTATCACAAAAAATGTCAGAAGCTTGTCGCCACTTGATCCACCCTGCTTTGATTCTATGGCTAACGTCCGTATCAATATCTCCATCCCTCTGTAGCATCGATCTTAGATACCGAAATGTATCATTTTTAGGCACTACTTGACCTTCCAAACTCACATTTCCCTCCTCCTGTGCAGCTCCGCCAAAGTCGCATCTCATGTATTCGGTTTTAGTTCTGCTCAATCTAAAACATTTAGACTCAAGAGTCTGTCGCCATAACTCTAGTTTCCTATTTACTCTCGCCTGACTTTTGTCCACTAACACTACATCATTAATGAACAACATACACCAAGGGATATCCTCTTGTATGTTTCCAGTAACCTCATCCATTACCAAGGCAAAGAGATACGGGCTTAAGGCTGACCCTTGATGAAGTCTAATTTTAATCGGGAAGTAATCTGTGTTACCATCGTTTGTTCGAACATTAGTTACAACATTGCTGTACATGTCCTTGATAAGGGTCATGTACTTTGATGGGACTTTATGTTTGTCAAAACCCCACCACATAACATTTTTTGGTATTACTTGATGTACCTACATGGCCATTAAGATCACCTCCTATAAAGAGCTTCTCGCTGCTAGTGACAGCTCTAACCAAGCGATCTAAGTCTTTCTAGAAAAGCCGCTTAGCACTCTCATCATGGCCTACTTGGGGGGCATACGCACTAATTACGTTTAAGACCATATCGCTAATGACAAGTTTAACTAAGATGGTCCTATCCCCTTACCTTTTCACCTCCACCACACCATCCTTAAGGTTGTTATCAATCAAAACTCATACTCCATTTTTATTTAAAGTTATCCCTGTATACCAGAGCTTGAAGCCGGTATTGTCCACCTCTTTCGTCTTCTGCCCCTTCCATTTAGTTTCTTGGACGCATAAGATATTTACACGCCTCCTAACCACTGTGTCCACTAACTCTCTTAACTTACCCGTAAGGGACCCTACATTCTAGCTACCTAAACGGATCCTAGTTGGCTCGACTAGCTTCCTTACCCTTCGCACCCGCCAAGTTAGGTGTGAAGACCCTTGCTCATTTTACACCACACCCAGGCACCAATGTAGTGCGCCACTAAGGATGTGATGACCCGATCCTTGCTCACTTGACACCGTGTCCAGATCGCAACACGGCGCGTCACAGGGGTGACGACCCGGCCCTTGCTCATTTAACACCATACCCGGGTTCCGACATGGCACGTCGCTAAGAGGGTTACGCTCTAACAGTATTCTTTTGGGTTTTATCTCCATAAAAGTGGCTAAATTTTTATATTGGCTCGCCGCGCCTAACACAACCATCCTCCAGGACTTGAGAAATAATTAAGGATTATTGGCTATGAGCCTCTAAAAAATCTTTATGAATACCTTGCCTCCCCCCTCCCCCATGTTTTGAAACCTAAATCTTTGCAGACACATGGTGAAACATCCTCAATTTTCCGCGAAGGGAAAATCCACAGAATGAATTATAATATGATGAAACCAATAGTTGATTCCATCA